ACACACACACACACACACACACACACACACACACACACACACACACATATATATATATATATTGGGGGGGTATATGTGTTTACACATTTTACCTGTACGGGTATATTGCCTGCATGAGTATATGTGCACTGGGCACACATGAATGTGTGTGCAGCGCTTGCAGAGACCGGAAACTGGAGTTACAGGTGGGTGTGAGCTGCCGCGAGGGTGCTGGGATGCAAACTGAGGTCTGCTGGAAGAGCAGCCAGTGCTCTTAACGGCTGAACTGTTTCTTCAGTCCCCTCCACCTCCATTTTCTTAATACTGTTTTAAATGACTTCTTTTTGAAGTCACTTTACTGTATCGCTTTCATCAATCATATTAGAAATACTAGTCTCTTGATACTGCTGCCTAAAAACATTCAACACAGACTGAGAGGGTAAGCATAAAAAAGTATGGAGGTTTTTAATTAAAATCTTAATTAATTGTGAGTTTCTTTAACACAAACTAGAGACCTCTTCTTTTGAAGTATGAATTCTATCTACACTTGTGTTTCCAAGTGTAGAAAAACAACAACAGCAACAACAAAAACTCAAACTTTCAGTTTCACAAGTAGTATTGTACAACAGAGAAAATCTCATATTGGCTAGCTCCCTAGAGCCTGTTGAGAAAATAAATAAATAAATAGATGGATAGATAAATAAATTACAGAGATTTGATGTGTTCCTGATTGTTATAGTTCCCTTTCTGTTGCTGTGATTAAACAGTGTGACTGAAAGTAACTTCAGAGAAGAAAGAATCTATTCAGATTACAGTTCTAGGTCACAGGCCACCACCCAAGGAAGCCAAAGTGAGAAGGCAAGGCGGGAATGTGAAGGCATGCCTGCTTGCTATTCCACACAGCACTCCCTCCAAAGAGGGAAAGCACTTCATAGCTAAAGAGATGTGGCAGGAACCTCGAAGAATACTCTTTGCTGTGTGGCGGGAAGGTTTATAATAACTAGCTTTCTCATTTGGCTCAAGATCGCCTGCCTAGGGGGTGGTAATGCCTACAGCGAGCTTGGCCTTCAACGTCAATTAATAATCAGTTCAGTCCCTCCACACAGGCATACCTGCCCACACAATGATGTGACTGAGGCAATGCTTCCATTGAGAGCCCCTTCTTAGAGTCTAGGTTGTGTCAACTTGACAGATAAAGTGAATTAGGGCACTGAACTAGCCGAACAGCTGCTTCACTATGAGGTGCTTGGCTCACGTTCCGATCATGATGGTCTCAGGAGATCACATAACATGGAATCATACTGTTAATACGGAAAACGGAGTTCACAGAGCCTTTCTATGAGCACCTCCGAGATCAGAGAGCAAATCTGGAACCTCTCTCTTCACTTACAGCTACATCACTGGAGAGACGTTAAGAGAGGGGAAAGAAATCACCTGCTAGTGAGTCTGATTCTTCAGGGAGCTCAAAAGTTGACCTATTTAAAGGAGCACCCCATGGGGACAAGACATTAGTGAGTTCACCTAGCCAAACGCAAACCTGGGTTCTAGGCTTCTTCTGCAAGGAAGTTTTATTCCACATGGTGACCTTCTTGTCACGTTACAGGAACACACGAACTGGCTGATATTCAGAAGTGGACTGTGGAGGACGTGCACGACTTTATCAGAAGCCTCCCAGGCTGTTCTGACTACGCCCAGGTAACTTCATGTTTTTGCAAAAATTATAAAAGTTTGAAACTATTTCATGCATAATGAGGCTCAGCCGATAGATTGTCTTGCAAGCAATAGGACTTGAATTCAGTCCCCCAGAACTCACACACACAGATCTGGGGTGGGGGGTGGGAGAGGAGGAGGAGCGATGGCTTGGTCTATGAAAAGCTTACTCTAAAAGTGTGAAGTCCTGACAGCTGACTTCCAGATGCAATAGTACACATCTGTAATCCAGTGTGTCTAAGGTGATGAGACAAAGGAACCCCATAATCACTCAAGCCAGCTACCCTGGCATATGCATCAAGATCCTGTCTTGAGTAAGGTAGAAGTTGAGGAAAAACACCTGACATTGTCCACTACACATGTGTTACATGGTGTACACAGCCCATTCACACACATGAATATGTATGTGTGTGCGCACGCACGCGCGCACACACACACACACACACACACACACACACACACACCAAAGCCAAGCACACTGGTGGCGCTTCCAATCTCAGCACTGGGGGTTGGGTGTGGAAGTAATGGATCCCTGAAGCTTGCTGGCCAGCCAGACTAGGCTCCTTGGCAAGTTACAGGCAAGTGAGAGACCCCATATCAAAAGTCAATGTGGATGGTATCTGAGAAACTGCATTCAAGGTTATCTTTAGGCTTTCATGTGCATGCACACACATAAACAAACACAAAAACAAGGAACCAGGAATGATAGTATACATTGGTAATCTCAGCACTTGACAGGCTGAGACAAGAAGAAGATGAAATTGTGGGCATCTCGGGATGTAACGAGGCCTTGCCACAACAAACGAACAAAGAAAAGCAGCCTTACTCCTGCACAGTACTACGTGTATTTTATGCTTTCATTAGTTGTCCCTCTGTGGGTAGACAGAAGTCGCATAAACAACACCTCAAACTTTGCTAGCTTACTGTCTGTCACCAAAAGGTATCAGCAACCCAAGAAACTCTACCGCTTACTTCTAGAAGTTTCTCAAATGCATTTATGATGTCCACTGTTGGAAGTCTTCTCCCTTTGAACTACTGAAGATGAGAGCAATGGCAAGGCCCAGCTGCCCTGCTAAGCACCCATGGATACTCTCTGAAAAATAACTATAGAAAAGTCGTGATGCCAGTGCATTCTGGGTACACAGCCCAGGACTGTTTCACACAAAACCTTGAAAAAAGCAAAGCCATATAAGGAATAAATTATCATCATCATCATCATCATCATCATCGTTGTCACCATCATTATTGGTTTTTTGAGACAGGGTTTCTCTGTGTGGCCTTGGATATCCTGGACTTACTTTGTAGACCAAGCTGGCCTTTAACTCACAGAGATCTGCCTGTCTCTGCCTCCCCAAATGCTGGGATCATAGGTGTGGGTCAACACGCCTAGCAAGACTTAAATTCTTTAAACCATACATACTTTGTCAATGCTACTTCATACTTTATTGCAGTTCATTCTTATTATATTCTCTATGAAAGAAACTTTATAAAAAAGAAGAGTAATGAAAGAAATAGAGATACATGAGAAGGCTGGTGTCTTAGCTGTTTAGGGATGGCCAGGAAACACTTCAACAATTTGCTGAGTAAATGTCTAATTCAATGAATTTGGCAGATAAAATATTCATCCCTAAAAATACCTGAAATTGTTCAAAAATATATGTGCACGTGTACATCATAGACATGGCTGAATCTCCATAAGAAGGGTACCCCAGGCGTACCATGCACAAAGCACTATATTCAATGCCCAGTGCCACATAAATGCCAGCATGTTGTCACAAGCCCATAATCCCAGTGGGATCAGAATGTCAGGGTCATCTGTGACTATATAGCCCTTTTTGAGACCAGACTGGGCTACATGAAACTATGTCTCAAAAACAAAAGAAGAATAGATATTCAGGAGCCTTTAGTACTTAAGATGCTCATATCCACGAAGGACTGGTCAACGTTGCCTAGCATGGCCAGAAATTTAACAACTGTAAGAAACTAGGACTGAAAGATGGCCATGTTTGGTACAGCACAAAGAACTGACTGAGGAGACAGGATTAAGGGAGTGATGGGAAACAAAATCCAGAACTCTTGAGACTGAAGAATGACCGGGAACTGACAACACGAGCGTGGGCATCCAGCTCCATTTGATCAATGGGGCTGTGAAGAGAAGGACAGGGCAGTGGAGGTGGAGCATGTATTACCTTCCCATTAGCATTTAGCGGTGGTGGCAACCCGCCTAAATGTTACTGAAAGAGCAAAGAGGACAGGTTGAGACTAAAGAAGGGCTCCCACTGTGGATCCCTACCAGAGAAGAAAGGAAGAACCACAGCAAACCTGCTGATCAAACCCTCTTACAGTAATCAGGGCAGTGGGAAGAAGGATCCAATTTTAGACTCATTGTTCAGATTTACAGGGAACTCCTGTTTTCTTCTTTCTAAATTAGAAGGTTGTCTGAAAGTGAAGGAGAACTCTACAAGGTCTAAAGTCTGGGAAAAGTGGAGAAGATTTCAAGAGAAAACTCAGAATTTAGCGCAGAAGGCAGGTTGAAATTGGACATTATGAAGCTATATCACAACGGATTGGCACACTTTTTGATATCCAAGCCTGGAAACTTTACCCATCAGCAGCCTTCCTGGAAGAAAGGCATCACGGCACTGACTGGAGTCAAGGAAGGCCCTTCTGGAAAGGCCCTGCTGGACAGCTCTTCTGCATGCTTCCCTTTTCACCACACTTAACCCAGAGGACAGAAGGCACGAGAGGGACAATGTCTAAGATGGCTCTTTCACCTCCCTTTCCTCCAACACTTTCCCATGTACTGATTTGCCCCAGGAAGTACTCTTACCATGCTGTCTCCAGGCTGCATAGTAAATAAGACATAGATACTGCCCTAAGACACTTACTCCAGGTTGCAGTGAGTCCAATAAACAGAACTATGGAGCATTCCAAGTATTACTAAAGATAACATGGCACTGGAGCCCAGACAAACCAGCAGTCAAACCAAGCTTTATGTAGCTATGTGTCACCCTCAGTCTTTTATATGCAAACAGTTCAACACCAAACTTTCTAAACATGGACTTGCTGCAAAACTCAGCAACCAGTCTAATGAGTTTTGGGTCTCTTCAGGTATTTAAGGATCATGCAATTGATGGAGAAACACTGCCCCTTCTCACTGAGCAGCATCTTCGAGGCACCATGGGACTGAAACTGGGCCCAGCATTAAAAATCCAGTCTCAGGTATCTGACTGCATTTTAGTATATGGCAATGATGAAAAGCCCAGTAGAAGTGGGTTATAGAACGGTGTTGTAATATTAATGTATAGAATAATTATTTAGTCTCCTTTTTAGTCTGTCCCCCTCTGCGACTGAGGACATGATAGAAATGAGGAAACCTGAAAATGTTTGATGAGGGTGATATACATCTGTAGATATGGCAGGAAGTAACAGGGGCTGTGTGCTGATGGGTAGCATTTCTGTGTCTTTATAAAGAGAAATAGACCCTGGTATGTCCCGTCCATGGTGTAAATGATGCCCATCATAACTGACAAATTCCTAAATGCCACTGGATACAGAATTAGGAAGAGACACAACAAACCTCATTTCTGAGGTGTACACCATGTTTTACAGGCATATTTTATCTTGGGTATAAATAGCTCCGAGAACATATATAGCAATAAACAATAATGATAAATAAATTGGGTTTAAAGCAAAAAGCAGTGAGCTCTAAATATTTGTTACTTCCATTTGTAACATGATTTAGTTAATTTTAGGCTTATTCAAGTTTTAATGATGGCATGTTTTAAACAACTAACTTGCAAACTTCCAAGAAAGAAAAGAAAAGGTAATAATTGACTCTTGAGAGCTGGACAGGCCAACTCCAGCACCATCCACTGGCGCTGGACGGCCTCACTAGCAGATTACAGCCTCCGGTTCTTCTCCCTGCCTCTCTTCCCAAGACAGTCACTCACACAGCAGCGAAAAGCATTCTCTGATACCTAAGACAATCGTGACACTCTCCTGCCGCGAAGCCTGCAGCTCCACAGTTTCCTCAGAGCCAAAGAGAAAGTCACAGCGTTTCCTCGCCAGCACTTTGCATCAGCTGGCCTCATCTTACCTGCCTGCCAGTAGCACCACTAGGCTCCTGCCCACTTGCCCCTGGTGGCTCCCTTGAATATGGCAGACACGCTCTCTGTACCCACATTGTCTGTAATGTCCCTGCCTAATGTCCTCGCCCTTTGCTCGCTCATCTTTTGGGGCTTTTTGTTTGTTTGATTTTGGTTTCTTAGATGTTTTGTTGATGGTGCATTTTGCTTGTTTTTTTTTTTTTTTTGAGACAGGGTCTCATTCTGTATCCCAGGCTAGCATCAAAGTCACAACAAATCCCCTGCCTCAGCCTGCCAAGTGCTGAGATCACAGGCTAGAGCTACCATGCTTAGTGCTTACCTTCGTTTTTGTTCAATTACACCTCAGTGAGGCTTGCTCTATTCTGTGTAAAACCACATACTTCCCAGCCCTCATCTATACTGCTTTGTCTCTCTCCCAGCTCTCTCTTCTCCTCCTAACACTTATGACCCAACCATAAATATAATCTGTCTTATCTATTCATCATGTATAGGTGGAATTGTTATTTCCATCTGTCTCCACTAGACTGCAAGTTTCATGAGAAAAGGAATCTTTACTCTTTTGTGGTCTTAGCACATACAAGATCTCACAATAGATCAATATATTTTTTAAAGAGTGAACTGGCTCAAATGAAACAACAACAAAAAAGCAGCAACTAGTTTGTAGCCAAATTTACACAAGACTGCACCTGTTTGCCAGAAATACTTATACTGGCTAAAACTTCAGAACGTCCTTTCATGGCTGGAGAGATGGCTTGAATGGTAAAGTGTTACCACACAAACATGAGGAACTAAGTTCAAATTCTCAGCAATCATAAAGAAAAAAAAAAAAAAAAAGGGCTGGACACAGTGACAAGTACCTGGAATCCTAGTGCTGCAAAGGCAGAGGGTCCTCACAGCACACTGGTCACCTGGTTTTACCAAATCAGCTGCTGCTTCAGTGAGAGACTTTTTAAACTATTATTATTATTATTATTATTATTATTATTATTATTATTATTATTATTTACAATTTATTCACTTTGTATCTCTGTAGCCCCCTTCCTCATCTCCTCCTGGTCCCTCCTCCCTCTCTCTTCCTCCCCAATCCCTCTCCACTAGTCCACTGATAGGGACTATTGTCTGACCCTAGCCTATCAGGTCAGGTCCTATCAGGACTATCTGGATCCCCTTCCTCTGTGAGCTGGCTAGGTCACCCCAGTAAGAAACTTAAAAAAAAAAAAAGAAATTAAGGAAGGAAGCCAACAAGCAATAGAAGAAGAGGACAGTCAGCATGAACCTCTGGCCTCCACATGTGCCCTGTCACACATAAACATGTATACACATACATACACAACCTAAAAAAAAAAGAATATCCCATCACTATCATTTTTATTTGTCTAAAAATTTTAGGATTTGAAAATTCTTTATTTTTAATTTTGTGTGATATGTCTGCATTTGTGACCATGTGTTATGTGTGTGCCTGGTGCCCATGGGAACCAGAATGCCCATGGGCATCAGATCTCCTAGAACTAGAGTTACTGACACTTGGGGGTTGCTTGTGTGGGAGTTTGGAGTTGAACTCAGGTACTCTAGAAGAGCAACAAGTACTGTAAGCCACTGAGCCATCTCTTCAGCCTGGAAACTATTCAGCTTCCATCTGTAGCATCTACCTGTAATCCTAAGACTTAGGACACTGAGAAAAAAAGACAGCAGGTTCAAGGCCAGCCTCAAAAGGGAAAAGAACAAGAGTGCTTCTACTGCAAACTGCTCAACTCTTCAATGTCTTCACCAGTATTCTGTTGCAGGGTTTTTATTTTTTTAACTTTTTGCTTTAAAATAATTTTAGAAGTAGTAGAGTTGCAAAAATAAGACAGAAAATTTACCCCGCTCTTTTCAGTGTTAACATAACACCTTATGTAACAGGATACAGTTGTCAAAACTAAGAACTAACATTGATACAATATGGAACTGTTTGAAAGTGATTTATTTTTCTTTAGCAGTTATACTATCTCTCTTGGCATACTTTCAAAGACAGTTCCATGGGTCAGCTGTGGCTAACTTTGATCTGCTGTTGCTCATTTCTGGGTTCCCATGTGACAGCTTTTTCTCCGTGAAAGCCAGTGGAGCAGTTAGATCCCAGGTGCCGTCTGACAGTGAGACCAGACAACAGTTGGGGAAGGCCCAGTTAGTGGCAGGTGTCAATCAAAGAAGACAGGCATGAAGTCCTTGTCACTGGGAACAGAAGTCAGAGGGTCGAAAGGCTCTGGTTCACTTGGGAGTTCAGAGGTTGAACAAGCAGAAAATTGCCATTGAATAAACTAAGAAGGTTTGGGTATCCAAGATGGGAATTAAGGGCAATTCCCATAATAGTGGACATTATCAAGAGAAAAGAACCACCCCCATGCCAGGACAGAAACCTAGAGGATGGATCTGAGAAATGGGATTTGGAAATATATATATGTATGTATTGTATATATATTAGGCAGCTTTGGATTTTGAACCATGCAGATGTGGCCTGATTTCCACCCAGGGCCCAGTTTATTGAAGTAAGGCAAAGGAGCCCCGTAGGAGAAGCCCGATAGTTAACATCAAAGCACACCTCCCAGAGTAGCCTCATTTGTGTCTCACTGCTGACCAGTCATGTTCTACAGCTGTTTGAAGGATTTTGGCCTGGTCCAGAAGAAAACCTGGTTGGCTTTTGGTGGTGGTGTGAGATAGACCTAGAATGAAACTGACATAGGGCCAGATGGACCACAGCAGAAACAGAGGAGACATGGAAATTTGACGCTCCTACATACCCAGTCTTACAGCTGCAAACAACTCGTGACTCTGAAAGGCAGGAAAGGCCTCCCACGTACTAGAAGTGTGACCTCTTACGTCTATATAGATGCTCCACATCTGAAATTACCTCAGCCTCCCTGCCCCCCGTGGTTAATGCAGGGTTATCAAAAGAGTTCACAGACTTAATTACTATAATTATTTTGTCTTTAAAGGTATCTCAGCATATGGGAAATATGTTCTGTAAAAAAATTCCTTCGCTCCCCGCCCATGCAAGACAAGCATTCGATCAGCCAGCTGACACATCCCCTCTTTTGGATATTAATTCCTGGAGTGATGGTTTGAGCATTCCTGGTTCCCAGGATATAATGATGCCTAAGAGGACTGAGCAAGACAGTATGAGAAACTAAAAATACTCAGAGCCAAGTAAGTCGCTCCCGGTTTTCTAGAGTTTCGGACGTTACCCGCAATGTGGGAAAGCTTCCTGGGACCACGTAGAGGACAAGGAGCGTGAGAGACCATCCTCATAGAATTGTCTTGAAAGAATCTCACCCAACAGCCTTCCGCCACAGCTAAAGTGACCCAAGCACCAAGGTTCTAGAGAATTGTCCTTAGAAGAAAATACTGATGGGGATGAGAATTGACAAACATCTTGCAAGCTGCGGTCTGACGCCTCTGTGAGGTAAACTCTGAAGAAGCCGAAAAGGAACTCCTTCTCCTCGCTCCTTCCATCACCCAACCCTGATGGAGACTCAGGCTCCCATATGAGAAGGCAGATAGAAGTTGGGCACAGCCAGCCACCCTATCTCATGGCAGCAGCGTCTAGCCTGGAGGGGGCCCTAGGAGGGTGAAGTTAGGATTTACTGGAGGGGTGGGGAAGAGATATCTGTATGCAGCAGGTTGGAGCTGGCAAGAGGGAGGTGGTGATTAAAATGACTGTGTAGGCTCCAGTTGGAGTCCAGGTCTTTCAACTTAACATTTGACAGGATGAGTCTAAATAGACCACAACGAGAAATAGCAACTGTTCGGTCAAAGAGGGAACTGGCTGACAGGCATAGGAGGTCTTGTTTTGAATGTTCTGAGGTGTGAACCATGAGAATGTGTGTCTGTTTTTAAGATGCGAAGTTCAAGTGAACAGAGCGTAACAGGAAGCCTTTACGGCAGCCCACAGCCTCATTGTCTAGTGCAGCCCTCCCATTAGAGTGGGCCGGACCTAAGAGTTCTTCCTAATGAAGACAGGGACAGTGACTGTGTGTGGCTTCTGTCCTGTTTCTATGTCGCTTTCCCTCTCCTAGCAGCCCCAGGTAGAGACCCCCACATGACTAACCCTGACAGTGAACTCTCCAGAGCCTGCCAACAGCCTCAAGCCATTCAGGCCAGTGAAAGCACTGTTAAGTCTTGGCCCACAGCCTAAAGCCAGCTCACAAGACCCTAGTCCAGGCTCACTGTCAAGCCTCTGCTGGGTTCCTGACCACAGAACACAGGCCACAGAAGAGACGCCATGTTTTCAGTTGCTGCATTCTGGCGTCGTTTCACAGCCGTGGAGAACTTGAACACATAGATTTAACTTAGCACTACTGATCCGTTTTTGGTCCTGAAGGTGCACTTCAAAGCTCTTTCCCCAGAGTTCTTCTGATATAGTTCAGTTTTGCTGATTTTTGGGTTTTTTTCCCCATGACAACAAGTATGTTATGCCATTTGTGTGTACATGTGGGCATTAGTGTGGGTTTGGACTTTGAAACTAGAAAGAAAAGGCCAAACAGAGAGATTGAGGAATTCAGTAGAGGACAACAGACTTGTGTGATGTGAGTAGAAAGGAGGTTACTGGGAGTGGGAGGGCATTCGAGGGGCTAAGGGTTGGGGAAAGAGGATGGAGACTCAACAAAAACGCTCTCTGTTTGAAAATCTCATTATCAAACCGTATACTTTGTATGTTAATTTTTAAGTTAATTTTTTAAAGCCTGTCATACCATCAAATATACTTGTAAATGTCTATAGCTTAATCTCTTGATCGCTTGGCTGAGGGTCAGTCAACCAGCAGAAAATCCCCACAAATTTCAAAATTTTATTAATTTTTCTTAAGATGGCCATAAGCTGGTGGATAACATGTTTTGGGGTTTTGATTAAAAGTAACTTGCAAAAAAAAATGCCTCAGTCTCTTTTCTCATTTTAACTCATCTAGCCCTCAGTGCATAAAACAATCTGGACACATGACCAACTACGATTCCCAGGTTTCAGAATGTCCACTAAATGGACTCCTCTGGTGAGCAAGTGCTGTGGTGAGGGGTAAAAACTGATGCTTACCCAGGACGCTCATGTGGTAAAGGGATGGCCTCCTTCACTCCACATCATAAACTTCTTCTTGCTGCTGATGAATCTGTTGAGTTGCAGAGGACAGGAAATTGGTTCCCAGAACCAATTGGTCGAGCTGGAGACTAGCTGATCTCAGTAGGTGTGTGTCAGTGATGCTCAGAGGAAAACACCGTGATCTGCCAGCTGTAGACTGTCACTGAGAAAAGCGCCGCTCTTAATTTTAGATCTATGCATTTAAAAAAGGAATCAGAAGATGGTAACACAAGTCCTCCTGGCTCTGAGGACTCTTTACCACAAGAGGAGGTTGAAATAATTTGTCTGTGAAACTCTGTTCTCCAGTTAGAGACTATTGGGTACTTTATATTTTTTAAAATAGATTTGTTTTTATTGTATGTAAATGAGTGTTTTGCCGAGATGTACATATGTGCATATGTGCGCGCCTGGTGCCCGCAGAGATCAGAAGGGGACATCAGATCCCCTGGAGCTGGAGTTATGAATGGTTGTCAACTACCACTCTGGGAACCAATTTCCTGTCCTCTGCAAAAGCAACATGTACTCTTAACCCCTGAGCCAGCTCTTTGGTCCCTGCTGGCTACTAGTTAACAAAAGGGATACTTGAGTCACTGGGATTGTTTTGAAGGATGAAATTTTTCACTTACATTATTGTCTTAGTCACTGTTCTCTTGCCATGAAGAGACACCATGACCATGGCAACTCTTAGAAAGCACTTCATTGGGGGAAATTGCTGTAATGGAAGTGTTGGTTTCTTTGTAAAGTCAGTTATGTTGTGTAAATATGTTTTTTATTTAATCCTAAGTGTGGGATTTTAGTTGGGCTATAGTTTGTCCACAGCTATTAATTGTCTTATATGGGGCGTGGCTTTGCCAGCTGGTAATGATCTACCTTGTGCCTTCGGTGGCAGGGAGAAAGGAGAGGTCCAGGGCTGGGGTGGGGGAGGTGTATAAATTTGAGAGCCCAGAGAAAGCAGCGGTGGTGTGCGTTGTTGGCGTGTGGCATGTAGCAGTTTGAAGAGACCTGAGAGACCTGTCTGTTTAGAGCAGACAGACGGTGAGAAACCCTGCAGGGTGTAGCAGCTTGGAGGAAGCTGCTGGCTGTGTTTGCTATTGAGGGAGACTGGTCTAGAGCCCAAAAAGAACACATTGACCCTAAACAGCTGGGAGAAATGAAGGGGTCTGTAGCCCTCTCCCCACTAACCTTCTCTCTCCTACATTGGGAGATTGGAAGGGAGGTAGAGACCTAAGCACCCCAAATAAAGTAGAGTTCAAAAACAAGCTCTACAGATAGCTTACAGTTTCAGAGGTTTAAGACATTATTATTATGGCAGGGAACATGGCTGCAGGCATTACAGGCATGGTGCTTGAGAAGTAGTTGTGAGGTCTACATCTGGATTCACAGGCAGCAGGAAAAGAGACACTGAGCCTGGCTTGAGCTTTTGAAACCTCAAAGCCCATCCCCAATGACATACTTCCTCCAACAAGGCCACACCTCCTAATCCTTTTAAAATAGTGCCACTCCCTGATGACTAAGCATTCAAATTCAAGAGCCTGTGGGGCCTTCCTTATTTAAACTACCCCAGTTATCATATAGAATTTTTTAAATTTAAATATTGTATGCCATTTCTGTTTGTGTGCTCATCAATGTGTGTAAGTGGAGGTCAAAGGGCAACTTGCAAGAATCAAGTGTCTTCCTTCTACCATGTGCATCTTGGAAATTGAACTCACATCAGTCAGGTAGCCAGTGTCTTTACCTGCTGAGCCATCTCACTGGTCCTGGTAAAAAGCTTTAACTCCTTTAATGCTCCTTTAGCCTTGCTCATACTCCCCTCTGTATAAAGGTAAAATCAAAGACAATCATAACTGTAGAAAACCTCCTTTGTTTGAAAGCCAACCACAATGATAATTTTTTTAATAAACAGGATGTTATTACTTATGAAATATTTTGCTTAGAGGAATTGAGTAAATTCTTCTAAAAGCATGAGACCTACTGAAAAGAAATAAAAGTCTTGCCATGTAGGCCAGTCTGATTCAAATTGACAATCCTTCCCCCTAACAGTCTTGCGTTCTGGGATTACCGGGGCACCCTCTCACTTCCCCAGTTAGTTTCTCAAACCCCACATTGGTTTCATTGCAAATGTAAGGAAGTTTTGTTTAAAGAGAGTTATAGTCATTCACTGTGCTTACTTGTCCAGCCTCCTCTCTGGAAGACACATCCCTCTTTACACAAGTAACACAAAGTCAAAGGTCTTTGATGTGTCTGCTCATCACCACGAGATGTCACTGCATGCCTGTGAGAGCTAATTTCACCAGTAAAAAGGGTAACTCACATGTATACCATTGGGTGTCATTTTTTAATGTACTTGTGGGTTGTGCACACATTTTAAAAATTACCTTTCCAGTACATTTAGAACCTTGGGCTCATCCTCCAGGGATTTTTATTTTGCTAGCCTTAATTTTTTACGGGTACTAGACTAACGGTCAAATTTAATTAAATGACTGTTTTATTCCAAGTGTTAGGAAGACATTCTCATCAAACATAATGAAGAAAGAGCTTCAAACATCTTTTCACTGCTTAAAAAAAATAAATCTTAATACTGTAGTCTCAAATGAGCCCTTTGTCCTTGGTGGGAAAGCAGAAAGGCATGCTAAAATGTATGCATTTCTATTTGTTTTCAAATTATTTGAGGGAAATATTATTGACACATTTTTCTAAAAGTTATTAAATTCATTGGTGTGGGGATGGAGTGTAGCTTTGTGGTAGCTTTATGGTACTTACATAGCATCCTCAAGACCCTCAATTATTAGTACTTAAAAATGCTTTTACTAAAACTAAACTAAACGTTCTGTCGGAGCTACTTGAATGTGCCCTTTTTAACACATGTACAATATCAAGTCTCGTTTCAACACTCTCAAAAATAACTGAGAAATCATTAGTATTTCTGGCCTACAATCCATCCATCCAATAGGGATTTAGAATATATGTGCCAGGCTTAGTACTTCAGGACAAGAATGGAAGAGGAACGAGTGGACCCTACCTTGCAGGAACTTGTGGTCCAGAAGATTCATGTAGTATTTATTGT